GTATGGCTTTAAATGAGTACCTGGTGCAGTGTGATCGTGGTGGTGGTTGTGATGGTGGTGATGATCATGGTTGTGATGGTGGTGGTGATGGTGTCTCTATGGGTCTCTGTGAGTCCCTGAGCCTCTATGGGTGTCTACGAGTCTCAGTCACTCTGGGTCTATATGGGTCTCTATGAGTCTCTACGGGTCTGTACGGGTCTCTGTGTGTCCCTGTGGGTCTCTATGAGTCTCTGTGTCTGTTGGTCTCTGTGTATCTCAGTGTGTCTCTGTGGGTGTCTCTGGGTCTCTGTGTGTCTCTGTCGGTCTCTCTGAGTCTCTGTGGGTCTCTGTGTGTCTCTGTCAGTCTCTATGTTTCCCTGTGGGTCTCTGTGGGTCTCTGGTGGCCGGGCCTGCTGTTGGCCACCCACTGCTCGTGTGCTGTGCCAGCCTTCATAGACGCTGTTACTCGCCAACAGCAATTGCCTCAACAGTCTGTTATTCAAGTTTCATTTCAAGTTTTCATGTATTAGGTATAGCCCTGTGACATGGGAATCAATAGTGGTCACCCACCTAAGTTCATTATAAATGTGGGAGCATTATACGCATTAGTTCGCTATCACGACATACAGTACCCTGGTGTCTACAAACTAAGTTGCCTCTGTGGTAGTAGTTACATTGGAGAAACCAAACGCCATGTCTCGGACCGCATTCGTGAACACAAAGCAGACCTTAAACACGGTAGGACCAACACCTCGGCCATGGCAGATCACTGTTATAATTCAGTAGGCTCACATGACATTGACTTCTCCAAGACAGAGGTTCTTTGCAATCCATCTGGCTACCATGAGAGATTTGTTCATGAGGCTATCCACATATACAAACACAGAGACACTTTCAACCGATAAAATGGACTCTGGCTTAGCAATCATTGGAAGGATTTGATAAACCATTTCAGGTCTTAATTGATTGTTCACGCTTACGGTGGCTTTCAGACAGCATAAATTAATTTTTCGTCTCCCCCCTCCTCTTTTCAGAACATAGATGGACTCTTGATTTAAAGCTTTCGTGACTGCAGTAATTCATATTCTTAGCTCTTTCGGTAAAGTCACGTTGAAGGGAAACAATAAAACAATAAAATATATATAAAACACAATATATATTTTATTGTTTCCCTTCAATGTGACTTTACCGAAAGAGCTAAGAATATGAATTACTGCAGTAAGGAAAGCTTTAAATCAAAACATCAACAGGCTGATGTGCCACATCTCCTCCTTCAAGAAGTCTCACAGCCCTGCGATGTTGTGTCCACACAACCCAAACTACGGAGTGCCTGGTGGTAAACCGCTGTGCTGTAGCCTGCGCCCCTCCAGTGGAGGAGGAACAGTAAAACCTCGCTGATGCTCTCCTGAAGCACTCCTGTGCGCAACAATCATTGAGACTAGTTGCACGTGCATCGATTGTAAAACCCCGTTCCATTTCAGGAAGTGGGGACAGTTGGTGCCGTGTGCTCGTTCCACGTCGGGGTGCCACTAAAGGCGCAGGTCCCACTCCTGAGTGATCGGTTACGCGACGCTCTTTTGCACGAATAATCAATCTCTTGCAATTTATTTAATTATTTAAATCTTTCGTGAATGCGGCGATTCATATTCTTTGTTCTTTCGGTAAAGTCACCACGTAGAAGGGAAACAATAAAATAATAAAAAAATATATAAAACAATAAAATTCTTACGACGTTTCGACCGCAACACAAGCAATCATCGTCAGGTGTGAAAGCCACAGCAAGAACATTTAACTCGTAATCTCGTAGTCACTTACATGTTAATATCGCCTGATGATGTCACTACATGTTAATATCGCCTGATGATGTCACTTCCCTCTTAATGTCGCCTAATGATGTCACTTCCCTCTTAATGTTGACTGATGATGTCACTTCCCTCTTAATGTCGCCTGATGATGTCACTTACCTATTCTTAGTTTTTTCGGTAAAGTCACGTTGAAGAGAAACAACAAAATAACAAAATATATATAAAACAATACAAAATTCTCACGACGTTTCGACCATAACTCAAACGGTCATCATCAGGTGTGTCGGTTTGCATAAATTTATTTTTAAAACGGCACATTTATTTATTTATTAAAAAAACGGTGGCGTCACGCGCAGCGATTGGCAGTTTGCCCAGGACTAGCCCATCTATTTTTTTTTAAAAGAGGAGGGGGGAGACGAAATTTTTTATAATGTATGCTGTCTGAAAGCCACTGTAAGCGTGAACAATAAATCAAGAACTGAAATGATTTATCAAATCTTTCCAATGATTGCTAAGATAGAATCCATCTTCTCGGTTGAAATTGTCTCTGTGCTTGTATATGTGGATAGCCTCATGAACGAATCTCTCATGGAAGCCAGATGGCTTACAAAGAACCTCCGTCTTGGAAAAGTCAATGGCATGTGAGCCTACTGAATTAGAACAATGATCTGCTACGGCCGAGGTGTTGGTCCTACCGTGTTTAAGGTCTGCTTTATGTCACGAATGCGGTCCGAGACATGGCGTTTGGTTTCTCCAATGTAACTACTACCACAGAGGCAACTTAGTTTGTAGACACCAGGGTATTGTATGTCCGGAATCACATCTTTTACAGACGGAACCAGATCACGGATTTTATGTAATGTGTTGAAACGGACCTGGATCTTGTGTTTATTCAAGATTTTGGAGATCTTTTTTGTGATCCCAGCAATGTAGGGTAAAGTGATGGTTTTGAAAGGCTCCTCAAGAGGGTTCTTCTTCATGGTTTGAGTGATAGCTTTGCGGATTGTATAGTCGGAGTAACCATTAGCCCTAAGAGCTTGGTGTACGTGCTTGAGTTCACTGCTTATGTGTTCCTGGTCGGATATGCATTGGGCTCTATGATACAGAGTCTTGATGAGAGAATTCTTCTGTGATGGATGGTGGTGGGAATCCGGTTTCAGATAAGCATCCGTATGGGTAGCTTTCCTGTAGACAGAGTGGCTCATTGAACCATCAGGTCTCTTTTTAATTAGGACATCCAAAAAAGGTATCTTGCCATCTATTTCGACTTCCATGGTAAATCTGATGGCTGGGTGTATGGAATTGATGTGGTCGAAGAATTGGTCTAGAGCAGGCCGGCCATGTGGCCAGATGACAAAAGTGTCATCCACGTACCTCTTCCATAAGGTTGGGCGCAGAGTGGCAGTCTGGATGGCGTCAGTCTCAAATTTCTCCATGAAAATGTTAGCTATAACTGGAGAAAGAGGGGAGCCCATTGGGGTGCCCTCAGTTTGTTTGTAGAAAGTTCCATTCCAAGTGAAGTATGTATTGGTTAAACAGTGTCTCACCAGGGGGGGTACCTCAGTGTTTAGTCCTTGATGAACCAAGTCTTCAATGATTGCAATGGTGTCAGGTACAGGAACCTTGGTGAATAAGGAAACTACATCAAAACTGACAAGCAGGTCGTCTGGGGACAGGGAAATACCCTTGATTGTTGATACCAGGTGAGTAGAATTTTGTACCGCAGAGGTGGTCTTTCATCAGATTTACCATGGAAGTCGAAATAGATGGCAAGATACCTTTTTTGGATGTCCTAATTAAAAAGAGACCTGATGGTTCAATGAGCCACTCTGTCTACAGGAAAGCTACCCATACGGATGCTTATCTGAAACCGGATTCCCACCACCATCCATCACAGAAGAATTCTCTCATCAAGACTCTGTATCATAGAGCCCAATGCATATCCGACCAGGAACACATAAGCAGTGAACTCAAGCACGTACACCAAGCTCTTAGGGCTAATGGTTACTCCGACTATACAATCCGCAAAGCTATCACTCAAACCATGAAGAAGAACCCTCTTGAGGAGCCTTTCAAAACCATCACTTTACCCTACATTGCTGGGATCACAAAAAAGATCTCCAAAATCTTGAATAAACACAAGATCCAGGTCCGTTTCAACACATTACATAAAATCCGTGATCTGGTTCCGTCTGTAAAAGATGTGATTCCGGACATACAATACCCTGGTGTCTACAAACTAAGTTGCCTCTGTGGTAGTAGTTACATTGGAGAAACCAAACGCCATGTCTCGGACCGCATTCGTGAACATAAAGCAGACCTTAAACACGGTAGGACCAACACCTCGGCCGTAGCAGATCATTGTTCTAATTCAGTAGGCTCACATGCCATTGACTTTTCCAAGACGGAGGTTCTTTGTAAGCCATCTGGCTTCCATGAGAGATTCGTTCATGAGGCTATCCACATATACAAGCACAGAGACAATTTCAACCGAGAAGATGGATTCTATCTTAGCAATCATTGGAATGATTTGATAAATCATTTCAGTTCTTGATTTATTGTTCACGCTTACAGTGGCTTTCAGACAGCATACATTATAAAAAAATTCGTCTCCCCCCTCCTCTTTTAAAAAAAAATAGATGGGCTAGTCCTGAGCAAACTGCCAATCGCTGCGCGTGACGCCAACGTTTTTTTAAATAAATAAATAAATGTGCCGTTTTAAAAATACATTTATGCAAACCGACACACCTGATGATGACCGTTTGAGTTATGGTCGAAACGTCGTGAGAAATTTGTATTGTTTTATATATATTTTGTTATTTTGTTGTTTCTCTTCAACGTGACTTTACCGAAAAAACTAAGAATATGAATTACTGCAGTCACGAAAGCTTTAAATCAAAATTTAATGTCACTTACCTCTTAATGTCGCCTAATGATGTCACTTCCCTGTTAATATCGCCTGATGATGTCACTTCCCTCTTAATATCGCCTGATGATGTCACTTCCCTCTTAATGTCGCCTGATGATGTCACTTCCCTCTTAATGTTGCCTACCGATGTCACTTCCCTCTCAATGTCACCTGATGATGTCACTTCCGTCTAAATGTCGCCTGATGTCACTTCCTTCTTAATGTCGCCTGATGATGTCACTTCCTGCTTAATGTCACCTCATGATGTCACTTCCCTCTTAATGTCACCTGATGATGTCACTTCCCTCGCATTCAATGCAAACATGTCCAGGGCCCCGAGCCCCCCACCTCCGTCTGAAATGTCCAATGCGCCCATCGCAGAAAGCTGGTGCTACACACAGGTAACTTGTTCCCCTGTGGCCAATCACATTCAACGGGTCTCCGTCTTGTGCCGGTCAAAGTATGCGCATGGCTAATGCATTTAACTTTTACACGTTTTTTGTTCATCGCAAAGCCATCCAAAATGGTTTCATAATTATGTGTAAGTGCAATTATGGATTATCATTTTACAGGCTATTTTTGTACATCAGATTGCAAAGTTCATAGAATTGCACTAACAACATTATACTAGATAATTGTCTCTGATTTTGACTGGTAGTGTATTTTTACAAAAGGGGCAGCAGTTTTTATCAAATAAAAAAAATAAAAAGGCCTTTTATTGCACACTCTAATCTATGACATGTTGAGACTTGTTGTGTTAACGCTGTGCAGTAATGAACATGCAAGGTAATCCCAGAACACTAATAAGACCCTTTCATTTACAGTAATGTTTCTTTCCTTATAGGCAGTTTGTGTTTTTGAGCACAATATTCAGATGTGTGGGTGAAATACTTGAGGGTTTGTCAATGGTCATGTATTTATGGTAATGAATGAGCTTTATAGCTGTTATGTGCTCGTGTATTTCAGGTTAAGGTTGTAAAGTTCTCTTATATGTGGACCATCAACAATTTCAGCTTCTGTCGTGAAGAAATGGGCCAAGTTCTCAAGAGTTCTACATTTTCAGCAGGCACCAATGATACATTGAAATGGTACAGTAAATTCTGGCTATTTTATGACATTAAAAAAAAATCACAATGCTCACGGAGGTGCTTTACTAGAACAATTTTGCATAGTGCATGTTTTAGTTCATACTATATTGTTTTAGCAATGTAGTCTGCGCATACATACACACCTAATATGTCTTGTTTATATGTTCAATCAGGTGCCTACGCATACACCCCAAGGGTCTTGACGAAGAGAGTAAAGATTACCTATCGTTGTACTTGTTATTGGTCAGCTGTCCCAAGAGTGAAGTCTACGCCAAGTTCAAGGTTTCTATTCTTAATGCCAAGGGAGAGGAAACCAAGGCTATGGGTGAAACTACTTGTATTTAAGTATCAATTCACGTCATATGTGTATTTGGTAACAGGATTATATCATAATCAGCCATTATTTATCGACTGCTTGAAACATTGTATAAACCTTACGAACACGATCCCTCATCCTTCACATGAGCTGATCTAATATCTCCTTGTCTACGTTTGACATCGTCTTGGGCATGTACTCTACTTTTCTTCCTATTCGACCACTAGTCTCATCCATCAACCATCCCATTTAGCGATGTGTCCTGTCCAAGCCCAATCTATATTTACAACAGTCAATATGTTGTCTCTAATTTGCCGTTTTGATTTGACCAACGTGTTCCTCTTTCAGTTTCTCACTAATTCTCAACATACTTCTCTCCACGCTTTGTGTACTTTTTGGTTTTGTTCCATTTGTCAGTGTTTCTGTTTGTAATCAGTGTTTCATAGTAGGTAATATGCACTAGATTGGAATCTTTCATCCTGTAGCACATTGCAACTTTTCATTATCAAATTCATATTCCAAAAGTGCTCTTGATCCTGTTCCACCTTCAGAAGTTGCCATTATGCATATTTTTTGTGTTTTCCATGATATTGACCCTCCAATAATTATTTTATTTTGCTTAGTGTACCTGGACATTGTCATTCACGGACATTTCTTTTCCTAGTTTTACAATCTTCACCATGTGTTATTCCATTGTAATTTATCAAGTGACGGCTTTATTTTTCTGCTTGCACTCACTGTTTATTACAACTTCATTATTTTTGTTTGTATTCTCATCCATTTTTTTATTCATTTCTGGTGGTTTTACAAAGGTTGGCATTTTCATCCCATTTCACACTTCTCCTTTACCTTGCTTTAGTGGTTCATATTGTTTGTTTTATAATTGCCTTATTACTTTCAGGATACTCTTTCAATGCGCGATAACTATTTTAAGTGATGACATCCATACATTTACTGTGCTTTGCTAAGGCTATTAACATGTTTCTGAGAGTCTAAATCTATCTTTTTGTTTTAAACTTTCATGTTTTTTTCTTATTATTTGCTTTGGTGTTGTCTTTGGTAATGTTAACATGTAACTCACGTCACACAACCATGTTTACAAAGACAAGCATTATTAATACACAAACACATTCAACTAATCCATATGAACTATATATTCATACACTTAAATCCAGGTCTGATTTTCATCTACCTTGAAGTTAAAAGCTAAACTGAACTATTTTTATTTTACCAGGCAAGGCCCACTGAACTACAGTGTGGGAAAAAATATTTGATGCCCTGCTGATTTTGTACGTTTGCCCACTAACAAAGAAATGATCAGTCTATAATTTTAATGGTAGGTTTATTTCAACAGTGAGAGACAGAATAACAACAACAAAATCCAGAAAAACGCATGTCAAAAATTGTATAAATTGATTGGCATTTTAATGAGGGAAATAAGTATTTGACTCCCTCTCAATCAGAAAGATTTCTGGCTCCCAGGTGTCGTTTATACAGGTAACGAGCTGAGATTAGGAGCACACTCTTAAAGGGAGTGCTCCTAATCTCAGCTTACCTGTATAACAGACACCTTTCCACAGAAGCAATCAATCAGATTCCAAACTCTCCACCATGGCCAAGACTAAAGAGCTCTCCAAGGATGTCAGGGACAAGATTGTAGACCTACACAAGGCTGGAATGGGCTACAAGACCATTGCCAAGCAGCTTGGTGAGAAGGTGACAACAGTTGGTGCGATTATTCGCAAATGGAAGAAACACAAAAGAACTGTCAATCTCCCTCGGTTTGGGGCCCCATGCAAGATCTCACCTCGTGGGGTTGCAATGATCATGAGAACGGTGAGGAATCAGCCCAGAACTACACGGGAGGATCTTGTCAATGATCTCAAGGCAGCTGGGACCATAGTCACCAAGAAAACAATTGGTAACACACTACGCCGTGAAGGACTGAAATCCTGCAGCGCCCGCAAGGTCCCCCTGCAAAACAAAGTACATATACATGCCTGTCTGAAGCTTGCCAATTAACATCTGAGTGATTCAGAGAACAACTGGGTGAAAGTGTTGTGGTCAGATGAGACCAAAATGGACCTCTTTGGCATCAACTCAACTCGCCGTGTTTGGAGGAGGAGGAATGCTGCCTATGACCCCAAGAACACCATCCCCACTGTCAAACATGGAGGTGTAAACATTATGCTTTGGGGGTGTTTTTCTGCTAAGGAGACGGGACAACTTCACCGCATCAAAGGGAAAATGGACGGGGCCATGTACCGTCAAATCTTGGGTGAGAACCTCCTTCCCTCAGCCAGGGCATTGAAAATGGGTCATGTATGGGTATCCCAGCATGACAATAACCCAAAACACACGGCCAAGGCAACAAAGGAGTGGCTCAAGAAAAAGCACATTAAGGTCCTGGAGTGGCCTAGCCAGTCTCCAGACCTTAATCCCATAGAAAATATGTGGAGGGAGCTGAAGGTTCGAGTTGCCAAACATCAGCCTCGAAACCTTAATGACTTGGAGAAGATCTGCAAAGAGGAGTGGGACAAAATCCCTCCTGAGATGTGTGCAAACCAGGTGGCCAACTACAAGAAACGTCTGACCTCTGTGATTGCCAACAAGGGTTTTGCCACCAAGTACTAGGTCATGTTTTGCAGAGGGGTCAAATACTTATTTCCCTCATTAAAATGCAAATCAATTTTTGACATGCGTTTTTCTGAATTTTGTTGTTTTTCTGTCTCTCACTGTTCAAATAAACCTACCATTAAAATGATAGACTGATCATTTCTTTGTCAGTGGGCAAACGTACAAAATCAGCAGGGAATCAAATACTTTTTTCCCTCACTGTACATAGCTCTTTTTCAGAAGTGCCCCGGCCACAAACGATAGCTTAACGAGATGGCTTATTGTGTGGAAATGTATAGCAGCCAAATACTCTGGATATTTATAAATATGGAGGGAAAAACCGGAAGATCTGGATAAAAATACATGCAACCACAAGGAGAACATGCAGATTCCAAATATACAGGCATCAGGGTTGAGATCGAACCCCATGACCTATATACCAGGCGAGGTAGTTGACTGCCACCGTGGCGCAGGGCTTTAGAATACATTGCTGTCTTTACACTTTGAAAATAGAATAACATTTTTTTTTCCTATTACATGAAATTACCACCGTTTATTGTAAGAACTGGTGAGTATTGTTTGAAATCTATTTTTTTACAGAGAGCCCGCGAGCATACCGCTTTTTCCAAGGAAAAGACTGGGGATTTAAAAAATTCATTCGAAGAGATTTTTTGCTTGATGAATCTAATAGCTTGCTTCCAGATAACAAACTGACACTCTTTGGTGAAGTAAGTATGAAATGCTGCAGCTAATGTGTAATTTTCTATTTTAGTCATTACAATTGCACAGTTGGAGTCAATATTCTACTTAATTGATGATTGTAATAATTACTTTCCCTGTTCCATACAAGGAAATTGTTAACATGAGTTTTACAAGCACGTTTTTCCTCCACTGGTGCTAGAGTTAACATAGCACAACAATTAAATAATCAAGCGTAATTTTTTTTAGGTTTTCTCCCTCTGGATAGTGTTTATATTTAAACCTTGACATTTTTATAAACTAGAATGTCAGGTATTACATAAAGTGTTTTGTTTAAATGTCGCCACATGAATTCCTTTTCCTATTCTCGGACATCAGCCAGTTTGATGTAAATGTTTCTTGTCCTTAGGGGGGTCCTTTTAATCAGCCAGATTTATATTTTTTACCTTTAAAATACTTTACAAAATACAAGCATTTTTGATAATGAAAGGAAGCACATCAAGAAGGGCTGTTCACTTCCTCTGTTGTTGTGCAGAACCCATAATTAGGGGCCTCACTACCTGTTTAAACTGTTTATACAGTGTAAAATAACTTGACAAAAATATAGAATGAAAATTGATTAATATGAAAAACATTTCACGGACCTCTATTTTGGCATTATTCACAACACTTGTTCTGATATAGGATGTCTGTGCAGATTTGCTTGCTTGATTGAACCAAAGCCTACATCTTCATGCAAAATGTGTAGTTAAGTGAGGATTTGTAAAAAAAATTCATCAAATGCCTTCTCAAAGCTGGTTGATGTCTATGCAGGTTAGTGTGGTGCAGGATTCCGTGAACATTTCTGGTCAATCCAGCATGAGTACATTGATAGTGCCAGATTGCCGGCTGGCAGTTGACTTCGGGGAGATCTGGGACAATTCCCGCTTCACTGACTGCCTGCTTCGTGTTGGTGGCCAGGAGTTTAAAGCACACAAGGCCGTATTGGCAGGTCTGTGCCACAACAAGCAACACATGCGTCGTTTAGTGTA